GGAATCTTTTGTTGAGGGTGATTTGATGTGCCCGATTGTTTACTCTCTTTTGTTTTGCTGTTGTAATTTTTGAGTTTTTAAATACTGGTAGCCAGGTTTTGTTCATTTTCCTGGTTTCTTCCTTTCTGTTGAAATTGTCCACATGCTTGTGGATTTCAATGGCTTCTCTGTGTAGTCTGACATGGTGGTTGTGAGAGTGGTCCAACATTTCACAGAACCAATTTCTGTGTCCAGGTTGGTTCATCAGGTGCTCTGCTATGGCTGACTTCTCTGGTTGAAGTAGTCTGCAGGCACTGTCAGGCCATTATATGCTAATCAAGGTGGTCAGTTGAAACATTCACACCCAGCTCCAGCAGACAAGAGTTCTTTGTCCCACCCTGGTCATTCCACAGATATATAAACCCCTTTTCCTACTTCCAACAGACCTCACTACCTCTGAGGATGCTTGCCATAGATGCAGGCGAAACGTCAGGAGAAAATGCCTCTAGAACATGGCCATATAGCCCGGAAAAACCTACAACAACCCACTTTAATATTGACTTAGGATGGATTGTGTTCCCTCATCTCTCACTGAAAAATCCAGTTATTTTTTACCTTGTTCACATCAGCATATTTTCAATTTTAATCTATTATATGTGGCCCAGCCATTTAAAAATATTTATATGTCACCATTGACTGTTTTTATGTGATTTATGATTTGTATTTTATTTTATTGATTGTTTGCTGATGTTGTGTTTATTGATGTTTTGTTTGATGTGCTTTGGGCTTGGCCTCATGTAAGCCACACCGAGTCCCTTGGGGAGATGGTAGGTAAAGGTAAAGGTAGTCCCCTGACATTAAGTCCAGTCATGTCTGACTCTGGGGGTTGTTGCTCATCTCCATTTCTAAGCCTAAGAGCCAGCGTTGTCCATAGACACCTCCAAGGTCATGTGGCCGGCATGACTGCATGGACGCCGTTACCTTCCTGCCGGAGCGGTACCTATTGATCTACTCACATTTGCATTTTTCGAACTGCTAGGTTGGCAGAAGCTAGGGCTGACAGCGGAAGCTCACGCCGTCCCCGGAATCGAACCTGAACCTTTCGATCAACAAGCTCAGCAGCTCAGTGCTTTAACCCACTGCGCCACCGGCTCCAATAGACTACAATATTATTATTATTATTATTATTATTATTATTATTATTATTATTATTATTTGTACTCCGCTACCATCTCCCCGGAGCCCCCGGTGGCGCAGTGGGTTAAAGCACTGAGCTGCTGAGCTTGTTGATCGATTAACCTAACTCAAATGTTAATAATTATGTTAATAATAATAATAATAATAATAATAATAATTATTATTATTATTATCTCGACTGCCTCTTATTAGGAATGGAAGGCTCAGCAGCCAGCCAGCCCTAGGCTTCCTCAGCCTGTTACTTAGCTTGGGAGTCTCTCTCGTCTGGTTCAGTCCCAGTTAGTCCCACCTTCTCTCCAGTTCTGCAATATCCCTTACCTCCTTCCAGATATGATGATGGCTAAGGAAGCAGCCCACCTCCCCTTTGGTGAGCGTCCTGCCCGAAAAGGGGTCGTAATAACCGGGCAGCAGGTCCACACCAAGCTTCTTGATGTCGCTGCTATTTAAGGCACTGGAAAGGAAGGGATGGAAGAGGTTGGACACAACTCAAGAAGGAGGGAATGCAATACGATGTGATGGGATGCTATGCTCTCCACAGCACCAAGCAAGGAGGAGATTGGCAAGTTAAGCGTGTGCAAAGGAGAGCAACAAAAACATCCAAAGGTTAGGAAACCAAACTAAGTGGGACCGATCCCGTCACCTTCCATCCACAGCGTTCACCACCAAGGGCTCGATCTCCAGCTCCAAGAGAGCATCCAGCATTCGTTGACGCCGGTCTGGACGCCGCACCAAGTTGATGAGGAAAATCTAAGAGGTGCAAAGGAAAGACCAGAGTTGCGGGATAGTAGCTGAAACTATCCGCATTTTAGAAACAATACAACCAGGGCTGCCAAATGAGATGCCATGTTGGGCATATCTAGCATCGTTAGGCAAAGTCAACAAAAGGCAATGGGATGTATATGTGTGTGTGTGTGTGTGATTCATACACATAATATATATAAAAATTAATAATAATAATTTTATTTCTTACCCACCTCTCCATCATCTAAAACACACTATAAAATACACATATTAAAACATATTTCTACAAAATGCATATTAAAATACAAAGAACAGAGATGAAATGCAAGACAAAAGTTCCAAATTGGTGATATAAAACCAACTGGGAAGTAAACACACACACACACAACTATATATATATGGAACCCCCGGTGGGTTAAAGTGCTGGGCTGCTGAAGTTGCTGACCGAAAGGTCGCAGGTTCGAATCCGGGGAGCGGTGTGAGGTGTCAGCCCCAGCTTCTGCCAACCTAGCAGTTTGAAAACATGAAAATATGAGTAGGTACCACTCTGGCAGGAAGGTAACAGCACTCCATGCAGTTTTGC